AATCACCCTTATGCCAGACTTGGGAAGTTTTGTCACGAGTTTCTTGAAGCCCCAGAATGCCAATGCCATGTTCGAGACATTGACTTGTGAGCAACTCAACGGCTCCCTTTCATTGCAATGTGAGGACATTGTAGCTGGCAACATTGGTACAAAACCAAACAGTTGCTGGCCCACTCGTATCTGCACTTGCAAATGCTCAGTTCATAATCAAGGCGTGAGTACGCCATGCCAAAGATTCTGGTAGAACAGGAACGTTTTCTGCAATGTGCTTACGGACGCGACCTTTTGCAATGCTCTCTCCAACCTCGTAGCTCGTTCCAGGGATGTCCAATATGGCTGTGAATGTGCTCAAACTGTGTAGGTCGCCCAGCGCTCTAGAGTTGAAAGAGTCCTCGTAAGCAGCCTCCAAGACCATGAGATTTGTTCTGATCAGTGCCGCTTTGAAGACCACCTGCATGAAATCCAGCCGCTGTAGCGTCAAAAACAAAGCGAACCGGACAGGAACCTCCTTCATGCATCAGGCGACTGGCCCCCCCACCACAAGGCACTTCTTTCCGCTTCCAAGGCACATTGGCTACTGGCGCCAATGCCATGATCTTGCCATCTAGTATCTGCGTCGAGGATCACATCACCTGTCATGAATCCACGAAAGGCGTAGACTGTATGGCCTTCATGCCCTTTTGCAAAAAGACTGCAGCCCATGCAGCCGGTGCATCTTCTTCCAATGTAGTGGTCATATATGATCCATCTGTGTAAACCACATCCTCCAGGATGGTGCAAAGTGAGCAAGGAGGACATAGATCAATGCCCACGCGAGCAAAGGGATGTAACTCCAAGTCCTTGGCTGGTAGCTGAAGGTCTGCAAAGGGAATCTCACGACGAAAGACACCGGACATATCGTTCTGGAGGTTCCACTCACCCGCGAGTACCCTCATTGACGATGCGTCGCAGAATCTCCCAGCAGATCTTGCAGGCGAAGAGTAACTCGATCACCTTTCACTGTATTCGAAGAGGTAGGAGTCGGTAGGAGATGAGATAGTTGCCCCCCAGCTCAGCGGCAGGGTTCCCTGCAGGTGTGTCCTCCCCCCAGCGGTCTCCAGCCGACCATCGCAGTGGACTGATTCAAATCAAACGTCTTTCACTTGTGCTCCCACCACCCCACCAAGTTTCCTGTGCGCCACGACGGGCTTCTAGATCGGCCTCTGGACCGTTCGCGAGCAAGTCTTCCAGGTGCACTTCGTGAAGAAAAGCCAAAACAAATGTAGAACACTTTGGAATCCTACGCTCCTTTACAGGAGTTCCGCTACCATATGAAAGCTTGACACCAGGTTACCCCAAAAGAAAAACTTGTACACTTCTTGATTTGTGAAGTTGACCTAGTCGTGAACGAACGTTCCCACGACCCACCGTCCCAGCAGCCGCGCAAGTTTCTTTCGCGACTTGAGCCACGGTCAACGCCGTGAGTGTTCAGCAAATGCTCGAACGGATGTTCGAGCTGCGCGAATGCTCATGTACATCTTTCTCGATTTGTGCGCGTCATCCACGCTCTAAAAACCTGCCAAAAACAACGTCTATGGCTGCAGCACTTGGAATCGAATTCGAACGGCCATCGAACTGCATTTTGGTCATGGGAAGGATACCATAGGAGTGTTATTCTTCATAGGTGGTGGTGGTTTGTGGTGGTTGTGGTTGTGGTTGTGGTCAGAGATTGACGCAGTGTGTTTCAAAGGAGCCAAGGCGCCGGGCCCGGCGCTTGTGAATTCATGAAATGAGTTCCCGAGAGCGCCTGCGAAGGGTTCTTCGTAAAAAAACATCTGCAGAACTACGTCTCATCTACATCTTCACATCTTCACCTCTGCACATCCACATTCTCACCTATATCTCTGCTCATCTTCACATCCTCACATCGACATCTCTGCTCATCTTCATCTTCACACATCTACATCTCTGCTCATGTTCACATCTGCACATCTACATCTCTGCTCATCTTCACATCCTCACATCCACATCTCACATCTTTACCTCTCATCTACATCTCACATCTTCGCTCTTCTTAACTTTCTCTCTTAAGGCCAGGGGCAGTGCCGCCGGACCGCCGCGAAACGCAACCCTCTGCGGAGATCGTGCGTGTCGAGGGCGCGAAATGCAGGCGAGAGTGCGATTTGTACCGGTCGCGGGCAACCCTCTGCGGAGATCGTGCGTGTTGGATGCGCGAAATGCAGGCGAGAGTGCGATTTGGTTTTGTCCGGCGCAACCCTCTGCGGAGATCGTGCGTGTCGGATGCGCGAAATGCAGGCGAGAGTGCGATTTGGTTGTGTCCGGCGCAACCTTTGCGGAGATCGTGCGTGTCAAGGGCGCGAAACGCAGGCGAGAGTGCGTTTTGGATTTGGCGTGGGCAACCCTCTGCACAGATCGTGCGTGCCGAGGGCGCGAAATGCAGGCTAGAGTGCGTTTTGGCCCGGTCCGGCGCAACCCTCTGCGGAGATTGCGTGTCGACTTTGTAGTACATGCAACTTTAGTACGCGGAGCAATCTGTGGAGCTGGAAGCTGAGAACTGGCGACTTTGTAGTACAACTTGAGTCCGCGGAGTATCTGGGGAGCTGGAAGATGAGAACTGGCGACTTTCTAGTACAACTTTAGTACGTGGAGTATCTGGCGAGCTGGAAGATGAGAACTGGCGACTTTGTAGTACAACTTTAGTACGCGGAGCAAGCTGTGGAGCTGGAAGCTGAGAACTGGCGACTTTGTAGTACAACTTGAGTGCGTGGAGTATCTGGGGAGCTGGAAGATGAGAACAGGCGACTTTCGAGTACAACTTTAGTACGCGGAGTATGGGGAGCTGGAAGATGAGAACTGGCGACTACTTTGTAGTACAACTTGAGTACGCGGAGTATCTGGGGAGCTGGAAGATGAGAACTGGCGACTTTGCAGTACAACTTTAGTACGCGGAGTATCTGGGGAGCTGGAAGATGAGAACTGGCGACTTTGTAGTACAACTTTAGTACGCGGAGCAATCTGTGGAGCGCTGAGAACTGGCGACTTTGTAGTACAACTTGAGTGCGTGGAGTATCTGGCGAGCTGGAAGATGAGAACTGGCGACTTTCTAGTGCAACTTTAGTACGCGGAGCAAGCTGTGGAGCTGGAAGCTGAGAACTGGCGACTTTGTAGATCTTTGTAGTACAACTTTAGTACGCGGAGTATCTGGGGAGCTGGAAGATGAGAACTGGCGACTTTGTAGTACAACTTTAGTACGCGGAGCAAGCTGTGGAGCTGGAAGCTGAGAACTGGCGACTTTGTAGTACAACTTTAGTACGTGGAGTATCTGGGAAGATGAGAACTGGCGACTTTCTAGTACAACTTATTACGCCGAGTATTTGGGGAGCTGGAAGATGAGAACTGGCGACTTTGTAGTACAACTTTAGTACGCGGAGGAAGCTGTGGAGCTGGAATGAGAATTGGCGACTTTGTAGTACAACTTTAGTACGCGGATGAGTCATCTCTCGCGGCTGCTCTGGCGCCCCTGCAGCTGAGTCATGTCTCCCGACCGCCCGGCTCTCTTGAGAGGTTGACAACTTTAAGCTACTTTGCTTACTCATAAGTGGCTGCCACAAAAGAGTCATCGTGACGTTAGTATGTGTGTACTTCACCTTCATGACAAACGATGTTCGCTTGGAATGCACGAGTCGCTGTCATGATCGTGATGTCGTTTACTCTCAGGTGGCCCTGTTCGTGGAAACTTCAGTGTGAAATGTACGTTCTTCAGTTCTGTTTGAACCTCTTCAGCGTTGTACTTGCGCAACTAAGGTTGACGTTGCGCTGCCGTTGCATCGACGCATCTACGTCTACACCCCCTCACCTCTCTACATTTACATCTTCACACGCTTCACATCCGCAGATCTACCTCTCCACCTCACCACACCCACACATCTGCACATCTATATCACATCTGTACATCCACACTGTCGCTCCTTCACATCTGTCCTGTCTTTCTTTCTTTCTTTCTACATATCTTTTCTCTCGTCTCTGTGCATTTACATCTTCGCACGCTCACACCCACAGATCTACCTCTCCACCTCCATACATCTACAGATCTATATCGCACCTGCGCATCCACACTGTCACTCCTTCACATCCACCCTCTCTTTCTCTCTTTCTATACATCTTTTCGACAGTGCTGGACAATTACATGTCTCGCTCTCGGGCCAACCGTCGTCCAGCTTGTTATCAGCGGCGCTCAATCATTGTGGTTGTGCATTATGTTTTGTGATGTTTTGTGTGTTTGCGGGTGTGTTTTGTTGGTCGTGTATTGTGTGTTGTGTGTTTGTGGTCCGAGCCTGACTGCCCACTGCCCTCTGGCGGTTGCTGTTGAGGTCCGAGACTGCCCATTGCGATCTGGCGGTTGCTGTAAGTTGAAGTCCGAGACTGCCCACTGCGATCTGGCGCTTGCTGTTGAGATCCGGGCTTGGAGCGGAGCAGAGTAGTGTGAAGCGGAACTCACCTGACAGGGGGGGAAAAACCGCAGGCGTCTTGAAATATCATGCCAACGCCAACCGACCTGCCGCCTCCAAGTGAATTGCTGCTACTTCTGTTCCCACCACGCTACTGCTGCTACTCCTGCTGCTGCTATATTGGTGCCAGGGCCATCACTAGTGCTAATGCTGCTGCTGCTGCTACTACTACGACGACGACCACCACCGCCCCAAATTTTCAACAGCAGAGCACAGTTGAGTTTCAACCTTTGGGCTGCGACCGGTACACTGTTGGTCTCCAACGCCAGAACTTGGAATTCCACCCGCTGGGGCATTGAAATCTTGGAGCCTGGAACCCTGGGGCATTGTTGGATGGTCGGGTGGTTATTTAACAACTCCCAAATTGCAAGCCTGGCTGCGTAATGGTTTTGATTGTACTGGAGGGGTTGCAGGTGCGATGCATAGAGAATGGCTTCTTTGCAGAGCAACATGCTCGACGCTCTCATGTTCGCTCGCAGTTATTCACCTCTCCTCTGCCGCTGAGACTGAGAAGGCCGGCTGCGTCGCATTTGATCCTTCACATAGCGCATAACTAAGACCATCTAAGACCTTTAATTTATCTTCGTATCAAGGTCACAATCCAAGCAACCTTGCAAGCAACATGTCCTGCCAATACGTTGGACAAACGCCTACAAGCCTTCTGTTCGCATCATCCCGGTTTTGCTGTTGTTTTTTCTGTATCTTGTCTCTTAATGTCTGTAGCCTTTTCCCTCCTCTTTGGATGTAGCCCAATGGTCCAAACCTCAAGCTCCACTGGTCGCTAGCGGCGGCGTCAGCGGCAATCGCCCGAATTCTGAGCCCGAAGACTGCCATAAGCGCTCTGGTATGTGGAAATCATAGCCGTTGCCAAGAGTAACAGGTTCGTTAAAATCTGTTTGACAGGTTCTTTTTAAAATCTGTTTTCTTCCGACCTCCTTTTGGAACCCCATGAGAAGCCTTGAACCTTTTTCTGCGCAGCAAAATGCTGCAAACCATGCGCAGCTACATGCTCTGTGATAGATTCGGGGTCGTTCTTGCCCACGATGCTTTCGCGTTGGCTGCAGCCATGCCATGAGCGGAGAGCACTCATGATCAAGATGGTGAGAGGACATGTCCGGCAAACAATTGGCCTTCAAACTTTTCACATACAGCGAATTTGCGCAAATACATCTGGAAAATGTAAGTCTAACAACTTGGCAACCTTCAGCTGCAAAACAAACCGCAACATTCCTGAACTCCTTGCGCTCGGCTCTAACATCTTCGAACTCCAGTGCAGTCAAGGGCGTTTTCACACTATAGGAGCCATGTCAGTGGAAAACGGGACCCGGCTGGCGAAAGTGAAAGAGACCACCGAAACTTCACAAACATGAACGAATAAGCAGAAAACTATGATTTCACATCAACTTGCGTTCATAAAAACATGGAGAAACTGAGTTAAAACAACCTCGCTGCTGTTTTTTAATGATTTTAACGCGTGGATGGCATCACGACGGGCTTGGCCCGTGGCCACATCGTCACACAAATGGCGTCACTGGTCTGGCGCCGCTTGCCTGGCGTCGCATCTATCGCAAGATATTGCAACGTGGAGAGAAGTATCGCGATATGGAGACATATGCAATGTTGTTGGTCGTGATGCCGCAATGGAGACGTTGTGATGCGCAAATCAATATCATCATTGAATATCTGTTCTCCGCGTTCCAAGTTTGAGATTGCCTTCCGGCTTTGAGCATTCACATGTGTTCTACTTGTAGTACTTCAACCAAAAAGTGCAATGATGGGAGGAGTGGCGAGCGCTTTTCTCTGGCCTATGTGCTGAATCGTGCGTGGGCTTGTGTCAGAAGCGGCACAAAACACACAAAACCAATCCCGTTCGCAACACCACCCTTTCGACTAAAAACTTGCTGTTCTTGTTCGGAGTCTTTCGTGAAGGCTCTTGTGCGCTTAGCATCTTTTTTGAGCACCGAGGCTGCTGAGAGGCCTGCATCATCCTTTTCCACAAAAAAACCGTCCGCGTGTCACACGTGCATCTGTTTATGAATCTGTAACCCGCGCGGCTGCCACTCAAAAGGATCTTGCAGGTTGAACCAAATGGCAGCGGACAAAAATCTGTGGTCTCACCTATACACCTTTAATGCCTATGAACGAGCAAACGTTTCACGCGCAACCAACCCTCCAGGCATGAAACGTTTAAGAGACCGGAAGAGACTATACAGGCTGCTATGAAAAGGGCCTTAAACACAATTGTCAAGAATCTCTTGTCGGTTCTTTTGCTCCGGGTTTGGATGGGACCAACCCATAGAATCTCATGAGTCAATCTCAGCTCGATCCCATCAGTGACAGCTGACAGCTGCAGGAATCTCTTTGCTCAGACGGTGCAGCAGTGAAGGACAGTGGCCCGCTGCACGGTGAAGCTCGCACGATGTCTGCAGCGCATAGGCCTGTGTCTCACTCTCAAAGCAGACTGCGCGACTGGCGACATGGTGGTTGACGCAAAGCTGAGCGGCATCACATTGAAACTGAAACTGGTTCTTTCCAGATCTTGCAAATGCGAGCCTTGACGCACCTGTCAGCGTCAAGACTCCAATTCCAAAACCTTGTTCGCCTCATGAGTTCCAATAAGTAGCGTTGACAACGGGATCGGGCGCGTGATGTGCGACATCAGGGCAACCCTGGCACGATCCAGGAAACGAGCCCACTATAAATGGACCTCAAAGAGATAGTTTCAGCTTACGGATTCACCGAACGTTGTCTTGCGCATCGACAGTGGTCGTTCCGTGTTCCAATTCGGAAACTTAGCCCCGCAGTTCTTGGACTCTTGGGAGCCGAGATCATACTTGCGGACAGTGTTCCTTGTGACTGCAGGCATTCCAAGCGCAAGTGCGAAGGATCATTGCGCACGTACGCGTAGCTTCAACACAACGGTTGTCAACCAGCAAGACAGTCAATCCGGCGCTCTTGGCATCATGATGGAGGGTGAAGAGAACCCTAGCTCAGCCCAGTCAGTCCGTAGGTTTGCGCACGGACCAACAGCAGTGCGTCTTCCAGGACATCCGCTAGACCAACCTTCGGCTGTTTCAGCAACACAACAAGTAGGTCCACGAAAGAATGCATGCGGTCATTCATCGTATGCCGTATGCCATGCGCTGATCACGCGCCTGCGCGTCTCGCTCCGAAGTTGGCGAAAGACTGCGAACACCTGTGGCATCCTCAAAACATCCGCAAAGAACAAGACGAGGCTCGTAGAAAGGCACGGAAAGCCATTCGCCTTCAAGTGCTCAGCACCGACCCACTTGGCCGGAACCAGGACCGTGAGCATCGCTTTTTGATTAGGATCAATCTGGTGATATATGTTTTCGATTGGTTTTCCAAAAATTATGGAAAATCAATCGAGAAATTTGTAGTTTTTTAAAGGGATTTTTTGAGCTTTTTATTGATTTGGTTTTTGAACTTTCTATTGATTTTCATTTTAGGTTTCTATTGATTTTTCTCTTGATTTTTCTGCAGCTGTTTGAAGCAATTTTGCTTAAGGTTTTCTTGTTAGATCAAAGCCTAAACACTTTTGGCTTTGGGAAAGGCCACTAGACATGGCCTCTTCCAAGCTCCCTGTGGAGGGGGGAAGACGAGGGGCTAGGCATTTTGCCAAGCCCTATGACATGGGGGCCTATGAGCTCCTTAGCAGAGCCAATGCACCAGATCCAAAGGGACTAGTGCAGACCATGCCCTTGTGGGCAGGGCTCTTGAGGCTGGAGAGTTCAGGGGAGATCCACTCCCAGCCAATGAGAACAGCTTTGATTACCTTGTTGGCAGAGGCCGCTGAGATGAACACGACAAGGTTTTCAGGGCAAGCATGGGTGAACATCAAGCTGGAGAGGCTCAACACCATGCTGTATCATGTCAGGAAGCTGGGCAGGGAGAGCTTGACAGCAGCTGCAGCCAAGCTGACCAGGGAGGACTTCAAAGCCTTGCAGAACTCCCTGCAGCTGCTGTCAAGCCCTGCTTTGGAAGAAGGCACCTGCTCCAGAAAGGGCTTTGGAAGAGGCACCTGCTTTGGAAAAGGCAACTGCTTTGGAAAAGGCTGCAGCAAACAAAAGAAAAAGTGAAGCCTTGAATAAGAAACTGAAACAGAATG